GGCAGAATGAGTGTAGGTGGGGTGGGACGTGTGTAGGCTGGAGCAGGAGGGTGTAGGCGGGGGTGGAGGGAGGCACGCTGGGTGGTGCTGGTGCGGGTTTCTCTCTCTCACTCGTGTGTTCTTTCGTTGGTGGTAACTCGCTTTTGCTGTTTTTTCTCTTTTTTTCCTGTTTGCTGTGGTTCTACCGCGCCGTCTATTCTCCGCATCATGACCTGCCTGCTCTGCTATCTCTGCATTCTGCGCGTCGTCGTGGATGCGACGCGCTCACACAAAAAAACACGAACAAAATACGACACAAATCGTGTTGCCTTGGATGTCGGACCCTGCATCTCCCTGCGTTGCGCAATAATCGATTTGCCGAACCGTGTACAAATTGCCGTGTGTGCGATCCACCGTGTGCAATCTGTCGTGCAATACGCTGTGCAATATACCGTGTGCAATCCACCGTGCAATACGCGGTGCAATACATGGTGCGGTCTGCTGTGTGCAATCCATCGGTGCAACGTACGGTTGAATCCACGGTGCAATCCACCGTGCAATGTACCGTGTCACCCTCTGTGAACTGCGTGTGAATCGTTAAACGACAATGCCCGAATCGACCGCCGACGAAACGATATAAAAATCCGGCTGAAAAAAAAACGCGCGAAAAAACTCAAACGCGCGCGCGCGGTTCGCGTTCGCGCCACCAGGGGGCTCCAAGTTCGAGTGGCCGCCGCAGAAGCCCTACCCGGAGTACGACGAGGCGTCGGCAGGCGCCAACCCTCACATCTACCCGGGCCCCGCGACCGTCGAGTCCCACCCTCACCCATCCTACGCTCCTCCCCCAGCAGCAGCACCACCAGCGGCGGCAGCACCGTCGCAGGTCTCGCAGATCCAGGTGCAGGTGTCGCCGGCGAGGGCGGCGCCCCCTCCGTGGAGCGCTGTCGGCAGCGGTGGCGCCCCCTCCGGGCCGCCGGCGTCGACGTTCCAGTCGAGTTTCGGCGCACCGCCGGCATCCGGAGCAGGTACTGATCACGTGATAGATGACTATGATGATGATGATGATGATGATGATGGTGGTGGTGGTAAGGATGATGATGGTGATGACGATGATGATGATGATGACGATGCTGACGATGATGATGATGATGATGATGGTGGTGGTAAGGATGATGATGATGATGACGATGCTGACTATGGTGAATAGCAGTCTTTCATAGCAGAGAACGTGCGCGCAGAACGAAAGGGGGTTCACTGGTGGGTACAGGGAGGTATGCGTGCGTGCGTGCGTTCGTGCATGCGTGCGTGCGTTCGTGCGTGCGTGACTGCGTGCGTGCGTTTGTACGAGTCTGCATGAGCCGTTACGCACGCACGCACACACGCTCGCACACGCACGCGCGCACGCACGCATCCCCGTTGAGTGGTAGTAGTACCGGCAGGGATGCGTACGTGATGTCGCGTATCCGGCACTCTAGATGCATTTTGCAATCCGGAGACAGTACTTAAAGCATCATGTGAATCTTGATCAGTAGTCGCTAGTTTTGCACATCTGTGTAAGCGCACGCATTTGTCGTGCACGCGTGAACGTCGGCACGTGTGTAGTTATATATTTACACACGTGTACGTGCATGCAGCTATCGTGTTAGCGAGTGTTATTTGTGTGTGTCGTAGATCGTTGTTTATTGCACTGTTTTTCTACTGAATGCACATCCCCGCGTGTGTCGTCCGAGCATTGTGACGCATGTGCCCGTATTTTGTTCGCATAGCTACTGCAGCGCCCCCTGCTGGAGCTCCCGAACCGCAACCTAGCCACGCCCCTGTGCCAGCAGCGGTGGCGCCACCTGCAGGTTGGGCGCAGAAGCCCAGCACCCCCGCGCATGCGAAGTGGACGGCCCCCGCGACCACGGCTCCGACGTCAGGTGATCACGGCTGCCGCTGGCACCGGCTGCCGCTAGGTGGCAGCATGCAGACCCGCCGCCGGGCGGAACTCAATTTAATTTCCGTCGACGTCCGAAGGAAACAAGCGAATGCGCGACCTTTCGGAAACGAACTGTGACCTTCAACTACTTTCTGAACTTAATACTTTCTGAGCACAAACGCAGCAACTCACGTGTAATATCTGCCTGTCTGTTGGGAATGATATATATATATATATATATATAGACCCTACGAGCCCTACTCCCATTACATCGAGGTGTAGTTAGTATTAATGTACAGACAGCCTTATGTAAGGCCACAGCGCTAACTTGCTGATTCGTGATGCATAGAGGTCAGGAGTAGATACTCCTGATAGAGGTGGCTGTAGATAGGACAGAGCCAAGGCTGATACTACCTTGTTATCATTCTTCTTCTTGCTGTTATAGTGCTAGCTGTAAGGTAGCCATAGATAGCGGTATTTGCAAGGTTGCCATTAAAGGGAAAGTGATGGAGCGAGTTGTTAACGGGAATTGGCAGGAGCGGACTGAATTAGCAGTTAGTAATGGTGTGTGGATGAGGTGAAGGTGCAGCTAACTTCAATATTCGGGCAGTTAATACTACGACACGTATGAACGCACGCACACTGTCACATACAAACAAATACGCACACACACGTACAGACAAACACACACGTACAGACAAACACACACACGTACAGACAAACACACACGTACAGACAAACACACACACGTACAGACAAACAAACACACACACGTACAGACAAACACACACGTACGTATCACTACCGATGTGTGGCCTTACTGATTCTTTTCCTTCGCTATAGCTTTATTCGTCTTTGCCTAGTGTCTTCCTTTACGCATGACTAACCTTCGTTTCCTCTCACTCTACTTGCTATCGCTCCCTCTCTCACTTGAAAGTCGCCGTTTGAGGTTTTTATGTCAAATTCTGAAAATACAATTACACACACATCTCAACGTGACAATCTATTGTATTGTATTTAATATATCTATTACTAGACATTAAAATCGCTTGGACGAGCAAAGAAGTGACAAGCAACAATAACAATAATATCGTGATCAGCAGCAGCAGCAAGAACAACAACGACAGCAACAACAAGAAGAAAGGCGCAGAAACAATAACAACAACAACTATAATAATAATAATAATAATCATCATCATCA